ACAGAATGTCAGAAAAATGTGTCTTTCACAGTGTTTTTCACAGTGGCCTACCATGTATCCCAATGGGAAGTCACCAGCAGGATTGAAGCACAGTCATGCAATGGAGCTTCCTCTCTCCTCACCTAGGCTCCCAAATTCTGCTCCAGAGGGTCCCCTAATGGAAGGGCAGTGCTGGATACAACCTAGCATCAACACTGTAGATCATGCACAAATCCTTTTACATAAATTCTTCTACTCCAGTCAGGGCTGGATTTAGGTTGGATGAGGCCCTAAGCTACTGAAGGTAATGGGGCCCTTTATTTATCCAGTTGTCCTTTGTCAACAACAATTTTTTGCTGTTTTTTGTGTTGAATACATGCTATATGGTAATTTATGGACCTAATAGGTATCTAAAGCCATTTTATTTGTTTTTTATCTTATATTTTGGAAATGTACATCCAGTTTTTTTGCTTTAAATTTTTTTGGGGCCTCCCTAGAGAGTAGCTATAGCTTAGCTATAGCCCCAGACTATAGCTTGTTTAGCTTATACATAAATCTGGCACTGACTCCAGTTTCCCCTCCAAGCTTTCTTGGTTTCACTTTCAGCAGCTTAATTTAGAAGGAAAAAATGTATTTCTGTTGTTCCTTCAGTTACAACTGGGAGTCAGAAATCCTTTCTGAACTACTGAAAATCACCTGAAAATCTAACAATAGACCCTGAGCAATTTTTTGCCCAGTCCTCATCTGCTTGACAAGTTCAAGGTGCAGCCTAGAAACTAGAAAGGTGGGGGCAATGGTCTATCCAGCATTTTTTTTCTCCTTTCACAGTCCACTTGAAAATTGCTAGAGGTTCCAGAGCGCCATTTAATGAACTATGTGTGTGCTTTACAAAACAAAACGTGTATCGAATGCTAGCTCTACTCACAGTAGACCCATTGGGGTTAATGAACCTGAATAACTTGGGCTCATTAATTTCAATGGGCCGACTCATTTCTAGGTTTGCATTGCTACATATAGATTAGCCTATGCAAATTCTATGCAAATCTGTGTCCTCTTAATTGGTCTTCCTAAGTAGCTTATCAGGAAGGAGATTTACTTCTGGGTAGCAGCCCTTTTTAGGCCATAAATTCCCATCTGCTTCATTCCCATCCCTACTTCTCTGAAAATATATGTGATGTCCAGCAGCTTTTTCCGAAAGAAGTCTTCCAACTATATTCTTGCACAAAACCAAGATGAGCTGATTTTGTGGCACATGGTTTGGCAAAGGAGTAAAAAGTAGGGGAGGGAGAAGGAGAGGGAGAACTTGAGACTGTGGCTGTCAATGACAGGAAAGGAAACTTTGGGAGAAAAGACGAAGCATCTGATGATTTCCTTAAAAAGCACAAGAAATCAGAGAAGCCAGGAAATGCCATCCAAGCCAATATGCTTGCCCATCCCAGTTCTTAATCCCATTCAGCACTGATGACACATGGATCAGGACTAGCTGACATGCCAATAAAAGGAAAAAAGAATAGAATGGAAAGGAAAGGAAAGGATATCCTTCTGGTAACCATTCAAGAATGCAGATTTACAAACTTGTATATTCAAACACTGCTATATATAGTCCCTTTTCAAAGAAGAACCTCTTAGCACCAGTAATGCACCAAACTCTGACTGCTTAGAGATAATGCATCTTCTTTTGGTACCCACTATTCTCTCAACATTTTTTTTTTTAATTACAAAAAGTAACTTTTTAATTGAGGAACTTTTAAGTCCTCAGAGGGGTCTTTACTGAGAGATTCTTAAATAATAACAAAGATTGCAGGAACACGTGGGTCAGAAGCCCTGAGCAGGAGGACAGAGCTGTTATTACAGAGGAACTCTACCTCACTGTCATTTTAAATATACCCCAGAACTTTGACACAGTTTTGTCAGAGAATTGGGACAAGGTGGGATGGAATTCACCTTCAGTGAGAATGACTCTTGTCAGATCCAGAAGGGGAGCGTGACTGGTTTAGTTGCACTGGACACTGAGCCTCAGAGGCACTGCAGGAGATGCCACGATGACACCTTAGAATGGAATATGGGAGAAAGGGGGTCACCAAATATTGATTCCACACAGGGCATAGCTGCCAACGTTTCCCTTTTTTAAAGGGAAATTCCCTTATTCCGAATAGGATTTCTCGCAAGAAAAGGGAAAAGTTGATAGCTATGACACAGGGCACTTCTGAAATTTGAGACCCCAAGGACTGCCCCTGTCAGATATGCATAGTAGTGTGAGACCTCTGGGTAATGCAAATGCCTTCCTTCTTCTCTGTCTGACCTCTGTCCTAATCACCCCAAACATATCCTGATTTGTCCAACCTAGACCCTGAAGGAGAACGCTCCATTCCAGAGGCACTGCACACTGCTGGCAAACTTATTATAGATGCCTAAGCACCCAATAAGGTTAGGGACTTTCATCTAGAAAGCTGCACATGCAAAATATTCTTAAGGCCTGTACTGGGCCTGACTACCCAACACGGCCTTTGGGCTCTCCTGGACAGTGAGAGCTTCCTGTTTGGACCAGTGTTTTGCCTGAACAACAGTCTTCTGGACTCTGGTGTGGTCTTTGGTTCTGACTCCCTGACACAACTCTTGGTCCCTGACCCCCTTTCAACAGCTGTCTACAGCACAGTCCTAGCACAGGGTAAGATTCCATGGCACTACAATGCGCATAGGAATCCCAAAATCCCAGTGATGGAGCCAGCTACATATGGATGTTCCTACTCAGGTTTTGCCTGGCCTAGAAGGGCAGGTGCAACTAAAGTCACTCCCCACTGGTCTGCCTTATAGCAACTGGTGCCTCTTATACGTATGGTTCCAGTGATGACATGTATGCTGCTGTACTCAGCATGGCAAAGCAGTTCCTGTGCTGTTGTGTGCGTGATGGGATCACACAATTTCCACTCAGATACTCCTTAGCCGTATGTATTGCACCCACAGTCCTTGAGTGAACTAAAATTATTGCTCAGTTTCATCTAGCTTGAAAACACACACACACATTATGAATGGCATAAAGCATAATGAATTGCATGAAGAAAGGCCCAGAAGAAGTCTTAAGTGGATGCTTTCTTTCTGCATTTAGGTTGCTCTGCTTTGCCAGAAGGTCTTTCGGTCTCCTTGTCATTTTTTCCCTCTACATAACCTAAGTAACACTGATATATTGCATATTTTCATTTAGCTCTTTGAAGCACAATCCACTTAGTGATTAGAAACCTCACACAATTTAGCAGATACCATCAGTGCAGAAACTTGCTACAAGCATGTCCCTTAATAAGCAAAGCGAATATTTGAAGTGTGGTTTGTGGTTGCTGCTTTTTGTTCCTGGATTATAAAATGAGGACGAGACATGTTTGATGGGTACTCTAGATTACCTTTGCCCAGTTCCTGTGACTCAGATGATATGTAAAGGATGGCTTTCCATTACTTGTCAGAGGCCCATTTACCCCATTATAACCCAAGACCATTGTGCTGAAAAAATGTCTAGAAGCATGAAAATATGGACACTAGCAAACTTTTAGCAATATGTAATAGACTGTAACTGAGTCTAAAGGAATGGGGTGAGCCCTCAGCCTTCCTGAACCCAGGCCAGTTAGAAATGAGTCCAAAACTGGAAATTCTTGGCAATATGGGGAATGCACTGTTTTTGTTTCCATTTGTTTGAAATATGTACTTTGGTTATAGCTCCTTCTATTTGTGCTCTTAAATGGTTTATTAGGTGGAAGCTATCAAGGGTGCAATTTAGGGAAGGCTGGACAGGAGTGGGAAGAAAAGTCATTAACCCCTACGTTTCAGAAGAGATGTGTGTATTCTTCAGGAAGACATATCTTTGGTTATCATGTGAGGTACCAAACTGAAACAGCAAATGCTTTTAAAATACACCAAACCAGGCTGTGGACCTTTCTGGGAATCTCACCGTACCACTGATATAGCTCTGCTTCCAACAACTAAACCTTTTAAGTGGTACTTCTGGGTGGTGATAACTATGGCCAGCCTAGTGCCTCCCAGATGTTGCTAGAACTTCAACTCCCATCATTCCTCACTTGGCCATGTTGGCTGCTGTTGATGAGTGTTGTAGTGCTAACATCTTGCGGGCCTCGGGTTCAGGAAGGCTTGGCTATAGTCCTGGTCATATATTAGTCTTTAGTGTGGAAGAGACAGGAGGCCAAGCTTCCAGGACCCAGCCCAAGTTGTGTGCCCAGCTATCCCTCCCACTCAATGTCTCTATTAAGCTTCACTCCTGTGACCTGATTTTGGTCACTAGAGACTCTTCTCCCTCCCTCCCTCTCTCTCTCTCTCTCTTTCTCTCTCTCTCTCTCTCTCTGTCATAGAACTATTAAGCCAATGATTTCAAGAATCCATTCAAGCTATTTTTATATGTGGAAATGTATGAAAAACATAGTTTTACTTCTGGTAAAACACACCATGATCCCAAGGATTCCATTAATATTTTTGTAATCTCTTTCCCTTGCAGTGGGATGATGACCTTGCATCTTTGACACTATTGGTGAAAGGAAATGGATCAAACTGTGAGTAATAGGTTACTTCCTCACATACAAACACAAAAGTCCTTTTCTCTCCCCACCCCCCCAGCCCCACCTCCAGCCCCACCCCCGCCACTGCCAATTGCTTTTAAGGCCACCTTTTATCATTGTTTTTCCTTCTGAAACATGCATTTAAGTAACTGAGGACTTTGGTTTCGCCACTTTCTCCTCTCCTGTCAATAAGGGTTGCACACAAGATTGAATCTATTGTGGGGAGGCATGGGGCTCAGTACGTGAAGGCTGCCGTGCAGAACAAAGGAAGTTCCTTGATAGCAAGTGAGACCACATCTCTCTCTAGCTGAACATAAAAAGGCCAAAAGAGCCTGCTGGATCAGACCAGTTGCCCATCTAATCCAGTATCAAGTTCTCAGAGTGGCCATCCAGAAGCTTGAGGGAAGCTGTGTATCTTCCATACTGACTGACAGCTGTTCTTCAGAGTATCAGACAAGACCTTTGTGATGATGCCAGGGGTTGAACCTGGGATGTTTTGCATGCAAAGCATGTGCTCTGCCACTGCGCTATGTACATTAGCTCAGGATCATGCATATACAGTGGTACCTCAGGTTAAGAACGTAATTCGTTCCAGAGGTCCGTTCTTAACCTGAAACTGTTCTTAACCTGAAGCACCGCTTTAGCTAACAGGGCCTCCCACTGCTGCCGCGCTGCAGGTGCATGATTTCTGTTCTCATCCTGAAGCAAAGTTCTTAACCCGAGGTACTATTTCTGGGTTAGCGGAGTCTGTAACCTGAAGCGTATGTAACCTGAAGTGTATGTAACCCGAGGTACCACTGTACACACAAACACATAGCACCAGGCTGGGACCTTCAATACACATAGCACACCAGAGTCAGAAGATCCTGTTGGCTACACAGCTGCTTGCAACCCTGCTTGTACTCTGGAAAGCATTGAACACACTCATGGCTCTATAAATAAATACATAGAAAAGATGGAAATATTCAAATGCGGAGTGTTAATTGCCATTGGCATCTCTTATGAGTAGAATCAATTCACCAAGGATATTCTAACCAGAACAACCCACTTCTTCATGCTCAAATGTCTCTCCAGTAAAACAAGTTGCTGTTAGGGATTAATGTGGCATGTCCCTTTGAGGCAACTGTATTGACATTGTACTTCTAAAAAACAGGGGTGCTGCATACTCCACACCTTCCAGATTCAGATTCAGAACATGGTGTGATCCAAAGTGTCTTTGTTTGTTACAGCACTGTCTGGGCATCTGGTGGTGGTCCAGAGAGGCTCTCAGCAGAGACAAATGTTGGAATGGGATGGTTCTACAGCCCTCACATAGGAAGAGGCTTGTAGGTCCAGGAGGTGTCTCAGGTACCAACTACCCTGTCCCTCTGTCTCTGGGGACCCAGAGAGACACTGCAGCCACTTAACGATGGACTCTATGACAAAGGCTTTAGCTTTGCTTCAGAAACAGAAGCAGGTAATTTAAAACTCTCAAATCCGGGATGTAATTTGGATGTGTATAATTTTGGAGGTGTTCCTAATAGCTAGCCAGGATCATATATGCAAAAAGATGTATTCACTTACGAAGGGATGGGAGTGAAGATGCCTGCCTGCGGACTATATTATTTGTGAACACAACACTTGTCTAAAGCGTGTAAAACAAAGTCAAGCCATACTGAATGCATTCATTACCAAGCCATCAAATTTACAGAACGGGGATGAAATCTGTTTCTGTTTAGGCTATATCTGGAACAACTTATTATTATTATTTTTTTACAGTGTTGCTTGTACCATTAACGTGCACGTGTGGAAAATGTAAGTTGCCCTTTCCAGTCCAGAACTGCAGCAGTACCATTTGGTAGTTATTAGCATAAAAACAACATTAACTGTTTCTCCATAGCGCTGAACTCTTTGTGGCCTTCCTAGAAATAATAGATGAAAACTATCCCCAAATAAATACCCACACTTCTAATAAATATTAACCATGGTGACCTTTAAATATGAAGCAAAGAGTTCTGCTCTATTGCTTTGTCCCCGATAATGTGAAAACCACCCCACGGGGTTGAAAAATTGACTGTTCATCGGTCCTCAGGCTGTGTTTGGACGTTTGTTCCAAGAAGGCTGTGTGCCAATGTTCATGAGTGGCTTCATCTTCAAAACACATAGTCTTGCTTTCTTTCAGCTTTCATAATTCTTCACATTCTTTCCTAGCAGGGGAAAAAATAATATGTTGGCTGCATTAACAGCAGAAACATTTGGAAGGGTAAAAACAAACAAACAAAAATAATCAATTTTCAAGGTCCACTTGCAGATGGATGGAAGTGTTTATGAAACATTTATTGTTCGGTCACAAGAGAAAATGTTGCTGTAATAGCAAAGGAGAGGCATGAAAATAGTGGGAGATTATTTCTACCACCCACCCCAATATGCATTAAAATATGCTACTTTTCAGTTTGCAGTGATTTTAGGGGAAATGGGAATTTGGAACAAGGCAGAATTAAATAGGGTATCTACAGTATCTTACAATATCTTGAAAGTCATAGAATAAATAGTATCAATAGAGAAGACATGATTCTCAGCAAGGTTTAAACCAGGGGTATAGAACCTGTGGCCCTTGATGCTGTTGGATTTCAACCCCCATCCAATCCAGCCAGCAATAGCAGTGGTCAGGTATAATGAGAGTTGCAGTCCAGCAACAGCCAAAGAGTCACAGGTTCCCACCCCTACCTTATATTCAAAGCCAAGACCTAAGTTAGGCACAATAGTCTTTGGTGACAAAGCTGCAGCAGAGATTTAAAATCACAAAACACGCAGCAAAGAAAAGTGTGTAAATATAGGCTGTAAAACCTTTTAAATGTGCCCTTTCCAGTGAAAGTATCCCACTTTTAATGGTTCTTTCCAAAGTATCCCAATTCCCTAGCACAAAGATAGACCACATGTTTAGTAACTCATAAAATGGTTTACTTACAAAACTATTCAAAGGTCAGATTCATGCGCTTTTCCATACAGCAGACAGAAAAATATTGCACAGGCAATAAAATGTTGCTTGGTTACAAAACGGTAATACACACCACCATTTAAACAACTCTCCCCCCTGCTAAGACCATTCATGCAAAATGCATAGGTAGTTGCCTGCAACACCAGGGCATTTGCCAGGAATAGGAACACTCTTGAGTCAGGATATAAGAAGGCAACAATTTTCATTCTAACTTGTATTTGTCACAATCAAAAATGCTTTCATTCTGTTGCAGTTCAACTTCCACCAGACACTATGTTATTATTTTCACTGTCCACTGTTTAACAAGACTTATGTAACATACATAACTATTTATCTAATACAGTGGTACCTCTGGTTAAGAACTTAATTCGTTCCGGAGGGTCCATTCTTAACCTGAAACTGTTCTTAACTTGAGGTACCACTTTAGCTAATGGGGCCTCTCGCTGCTGCCGCGCCGTCACCGTGCGATTTCTGATCTCATCCTGAAGCAAAGTTCTTAACCTGAGGTCCTACTTCCGGGTTAGCAGAGTCTGTAACCTGAAGCATTTGTAACCCGAAGCGTTTGTAACCCGAGGTACCATTGTATATGTAACTTACATTCATTTAAATGTAAAGGAAACACCAAAATGAAATAAAATGAGATTAATTAATTCTTTGGACATTTAAAAACAGCAACAATAAGAATACTGACTATCTTCCCTTGAGTGGTTTCTCTTCCTGATCACAGATGAACTTGCACACTGCAGCCATTTCTGCTTCCTCTTCTGCTCTTGTCAGTTTTTCAACATCCCTACCCTTGAGGAGTAATCACATTTAATCTAAAACATTTTCCTGAATTTAATGCCCCCCTTGCCCACCCGAAAAAATTGTTGGTTTCTGCTTTCCTTCACTGTGCAGCAACTGCAGTCACAAGACATTGTTTTACATTCCACAGTCAGAGTTACTGTTGGAGTTTCTCACGGGAAAGGGAGACTGGATGTGACGTACACTGGTTTCCTGTTTTTTTCTGTGTGATTCTCTCCAAGCTGTCGAGGAGAGAGGATGCATTTTTCTGCTTCGGCAGAGGCAAGATGTCTTTCTGTAATATACCAGCTTTGAACTGTAAATAAAGCAATATGGAGTATGTAACACATTTTCCTCATCCTTCCGCTGGCCAACAAGACTCTGCTTAAATCAACACGTGGTTATGGACTCCAGAGGTCGAATCGGAGTGCCGGCAAAGGATCGGAATGCAGAGGGACGGATCGGAAAGGAATCTGCTCTGCGCGTAGAAGTGATTGATGAGGTATGTGCTACTGCTCCGGGCAGCCTGCCAGCTTCAAGTTAATGGCTTTATGGCTGGACTTTGAACTTTAAAGCCGGTTTTGCAAATAGGCAAAAGGCTCCCAGGCACAAGTCACTATGCTGGGGAAATCGAAAGTAACTTTTAAGTGTGCCTTTGTAATCAGGCAGCTGCAGCAGTGACGCAGCAAGATTTAAAGCAGCACAGATATGACGCTGAAGGCTAATGCCAGAGTCATGATGGCCCTTCAGGATGCTTGTGGGATTCCTAAGCTCAACAAGAAAAATTACAGCGACTGGGTTCAGTATGCAGAGGCAATTCTGCGGAAAGAGGGTTTGTTTGAGGTGATTACAGGAACCCCCCCAGTTCCAGTTACAGATGCATGGGAAGCTAAGGATTCCAAAGCAAGGGGACTCTTACAATGATAGTATCCCCAGAAGAGCTCTGTCTATTGCGTGATAAGACCTCAGCCAGAGAAATTTGGGACGCTCTGAGAGAGGCTCACTTAAGGACAGAAGCTGGATCCACTATGTTTTACTTTAACAAGCTGCATAATATGGCTCTTGCTGAAGGTGGAGATGTACGTTTACATCTAATGGAGATGCAAAATCTCAGACATGAGCTGCAACAGAGAGGACTCAACTTTCCAGAGGCTGTGTATTCTTTCATGATACTACAATCTTTGGGTTCAGGTTGGGAGTCTGTTGCAACCCAGATTGCTGTGCAACCAACTGCTCAGCTGACAGTGGACTTTGTTACTGCCGTGATTTTAAATGAAGCAGATCGCCGGGGTGCTAGCTGCATGGGCAAGGGAGAGTCTTCACAGACGTCATCCCATAGTGCAGTGGAACCACCAGATGGCGCCAAAGCTTTGAAGGCAGTGAAGTGCTACTCGCGTGGACGTCTAGGCCATATGAAGAGGGAATGCAGACATCCCAGGGCCAAGACAGAGCAGCGCAGCGAAAGCTCATCGCGCGGAAAAGGCCGAGGCAAAGGCAAAGGTCCGGTGTCTAGGACAACGCAGCACAAGGCTATGGTTTCACGCTTCACTCCAAAGGTTGCAGAGGTCCAGAAGACGTCTAGATCTTTCTTCGTTGTTGATTCAGCGGCCACCCACCACATGTGCAACGATAAGAAACTGTTTGTGTCTTTTACACCGCAGGAAGGTGCGATTCACCAGGCGGATGACCACACTATTCCCAGTAAAGGCTACGGAACTGTTGTTCTTCACAGTTTGGACTTATCGATACAGAATGTGCTTTACGTGCCAGACGCC